TAATTTCTCGCTTTCTGTCTCTGTCTCTCTCTGTCTGGCGAGCGCACACGCCCTATAGCGAAAACCTCTCAAAAAAAAAAAAGACTGCGACGTCCCCAGTGTGGTGACCCAGCTCTGGCGACACCAAGCGTGCAGTGTCACCGTGGGACAGAGGGAGTGCTCTGGCAGCAGAGTCCTGAGTGCAGCTGCCGAGAGGGGTCCCGCTCACCTCCTCTGCGCTCGCCTCCCTGCATGGAGGCCGCATGGCTGCCTTCCCACAGGGAGGGGCGGAGGGGGCGCTGGGGCGGAGGGGCTGGGCCTCTGAGTCACAGACTTTTCTTCCCCAGGGAGCAGTGGATGGCAAGATCGAGGGACCCCTGAGGCCTGCCACCGTCCGACCAGCTGTGCTGACCGCTCCTGGCGCCCCGGCCCTATCCCCGAGATGCTCAGGCCCCTCCTGCTCCTGGTTGCTGCCCTGAGTGCTCTGGAAGGAAGTAGGCCTTGGGGTCCTGGCCTCTGGCTGGGGAGGGGGCGCAGGGGAGGCAGACCTCGGTCAGTGGAGCTGGGACAGAGCCTCTGGGCCCTGAGGGGGTGAGCCACATTCCCGTGAGGGCGCACAGAGGTGGCCCCTGGTGCTGTCAGCACGGGCTGGGGAGCCAAGACCACAGCCAGGCTCAGGGACAGGAGGCCCGGCAGCAGAGCCGTGGCGGGCAAGCTCTGCCCTCTGCACGCTGGGCCAGCAACCCTGGCACGGCCCGTGGCCCCTCCGGCCAGAACCGTTGTCCCTGGGCGGATGGCACACTCTGGAGCCCCGTTCTCCCTTGGCACGTGTGACGTTTCCAGAGTGGCTTCTAACCGGTCAGCCCAGGCCGCATCTCAGTCAGAGCACAGGACCCCCACAGCCTGGGCGCCCAGGGGCCACAGAGTCAGAGGCCCAGCAGGGCTCCAGTGGCCCCCAGGTGCGGAGAGGCCAGGTCCACCGGCCAGCCACCACGCGCTCTTGGCTCTCAGTCCCCCTCCCCTTCAGTGGCAGGAAACCCGGCCTTCCCCGTGTGTCCCCCCTCAGCACAGCGCTGACACCAGGAGGCCTCCCGCAGACCCAGCCAGGGTCAGGACCCTGTCAGGCCCCACAGGGAGGGCTCAGCCCCCAGCCCCGGGTGGCCTGCCACTCACCGGCTGGCTAAGTCCCATCCCATGACGGCTCCTGGTCTTTGCACTCCTCCACTGTGGCCTCTGCAGACCTGGGGCAGGAGTGTAGAGTCTGCATGTTCATAGCACGCACACATTTGTGGAGCACTGTGGTCATTTTTGTGAACACGAAGAAGCATTTTGAACCCTCCAGTGGAGCAGATGCTCAGCAGCCAGAGGGGACTGCTGGGGTCAGAGTTAGACCCCTGCCCAGAGCGCCCTTCTGGGACGTCCAAGGAGCACTCCCCTTCGGACACCCTTACCCAGGGGTACTAGGAGTGCTCTGGGCCCTGGGTCCTCTCCCTCCCTCTGAGTCCAGAATCCCCCATATGCTGCTGCCCACCAGCATAGCTGTCCCAGAGGATGGGGCTGGCCATCTTCGGGACATGGCCCAGACCTGCATGACCCCGTTGTCACCTAACACGCTGGATTTGCCAGGCCGGGGTTGCCCATGTCTGCCTGTGGGAAGGAAACCACCTCAGCTCTCGCCCTCGAAGCCCGGGCGCCAAGGCCGGGCACTGGGCGTGCGGCAGCCGTCACATGCTTCGTGGCTGACTGACGTCGAACCTCAGCTCCGTCCGACGCTGAGAGCACACCCACCCCCGGCCCGCTCCACCTGTCTGGTCGCAAGTGGACACTGACGCAGTGCTCAGCAGGACCTCCCAGCCCTGAGCTCCTGCCCTGGGAGTTCCAGATGGGGCTCCGGGCCTCCCAGGGTGCAGCTGGGGGCAACGCTGTCTGGCAGTCGAGGGGGAGTGGCTGCCCGGGCTGCCCAAGAGTCTGGGGCAGGGGCGGGCGCCGAAGGTGGTGGTCAGGATGGTACCACCAGCAGGCTGGACCCCACAGAGGCAGCCTGAAACGGGTCTGCTCTCGCTGACGCAGCGCTGTTCTTACAGGAGCCTGGGCCCTCCCTCGGGGCGCCAAGGACTCGGAAGCAGCTTGGGAGCTGGGAGCACTGAGAGACACCGGAGCCGGTTCTCGCCCACGAGGTGATTTGGCAGGCCCGAGGCGCTGCATGGCCCTCAGCGGGCCTCCGCCACCGCCCCCAGGGTCTGCCCATGGTCCCCAGTGGAGACTCGCAGGGAGGGAGCTGTAGGCATGTCCTTCGGCCACATTGACTCCCCGTCAGGGACAGACCTCGGCACCCACACCAGGCCTCCCTCCGTCCTGTCCACGCGAGGCTTGATCTGATCAAGGTGTTCGTAGCTCACTGTGTCCCTTGCACGCCGTCACCTGCACCACCCAGCCAGGGGCAGAGCAGTGAGCTCAGTGACCTCTTTGGGGAACCTGTCTCCCGCCCAGGCTGGGACAGCCCTGCCTGCACGGAGGGCGTGGTTTCCGTGCTCCAGGGTGAGCGTGCCGTGATGAGCTGCAACCTCTCGAACCCCTTCACCCACGTCATCATCTGGCATGCCCATGGCGAGGACAGGGTCCTCTTCAACGTGACGGCCCCCGGACACTTCCCTTGGCGTGGCTGGCAGCCCTGGGCTCGGGGAGGCGTGGCCCAGCTGGTGGTCGCCGCCGCCCAGGTCGAGCACGCGGGGCGGTACATGTGGCACCTCGTGGGGATGCAGAGGAACAACGGACAGACCACTCTGGCAGTGACAGGTGGGGCACCGCAGGCGGGGGCGGGCGTCTCGACCCCCCTGGGAGGGCAGTAGCAGGAGGAAGTGCCTGGGGAGGGCCGGAGGCCCAGGGCACAGGCCCACAGAGGGCAGGCCTGGGTTCCAGCAAAACAGGACAGAGAAGGCAGTCCCCAGAGCAGCTGGGCCCACGGGTGGGGGTGCAGAGGGGACTGCAGCCAACCAGGGTCCACCACCCGGACCTCCCAGGCCGGCTTGGGGTGAGGCTGCCCCGCCCTGAGCTCCTCGTGCTCCCCAGGCTCCCTGTGCTCTCTGTGCTCCCTGAGCTCCCCGAGCTCCCTGTGCTCCCCAGGCTCCCTGTGCTCCCTGTGCTCCCTGGGCTCTCCGTGCTCCCCGAGCTCCCTGTGCTCCCCAGGCTCTCTGTGCTCCCTGATCTCCTCGTGCTCCCTGTGCTCCCTGAGCTCCCTGGGCTCTCTATGTTCCCTATGCTCCCCGAGCTCCCCGAGCTCCTCAGGCTCCCCGTGCTCCCCAAGATCCCTGTGCTCCCTGAGCTCCCCGTGCTCCCCGGGCTCCTCGTGCTCCTTGTGCTCCCCGAGCTCCCTATGCTCCCCGAGCTCCCCAGGCTCCCCGTGCTCCCCCGATCTCCCTGTGCTCCCCGGGCTCTCCGTGCTCCCTGGGCATAGGGCCGTGCCCCCTGCACTGTGGCTCCCAGTCAGCTCCCAGCTGGCCCCTGGTGGCCACAGAGATGGCTCCCCAGATGCGAGGACTCCCAGGCTCCCCAACCTGGCCCCAGCAGCCCTGGCTCCCATGTCCTGCTCTGAGCTCTTAGCAAGGGTGTACTCCCCAGAACCCCTCCCGACTCATCCCTGGTCCCCCCAACTCCCTCCCTTCCCTGGGGAATGACCCCTACTCACCCATGCCCTCCTCACTCCACCCAGAGCCTGTGATGCGCACCGCACACCCGTCCTGACCCCGCACGCCCGTCCTGACCCCCAACCCTGCACGCCCATACCAACCCCGCACACCCGTCCCGACCCCCAACCTCGCACGCCCGTCCCTGACCTGCACGCCCGTCCCTGACCCCACACGCCCGTCCCTGACTCCTGGAGAAGACAAAGTGCCCAGCAGCCGC